AATAGTGTTGTAAAAGTTGAGGCATTTTTAGCGCCAAAACTCATGTCTCACTTGTTTTGGACACAAAGACATGTGAATTGGGTTTAAATGTCCACTCATTTCGTCTCAAAACATGTTTTTATTGTTTTGATGTTTTAAAGCAATTATTTTTAACAAAACATATTTTACACACATTTTTGACGACAACTGCTGTGAAAGTGATGTCAAATCAGACAAAAGTCACCGATTTTTTCGCCACTCAGAAGCGGAGCGACAATCAGTTGAGATCTATTGGCAAACACGTGAAGAGTGGCGTCGATGTCGACACCAATGAGTCCCAAACTGACGACCAATCCGTCCTCAAGAAGACACCCAAACGCAAGAAGACTGTCACTAATGAGAGACAATCCGTGAAGACATCCAAACGCAAGAAAACACCCAAATGTGAGGTCAAGATTGAAATGGCGACCACTGGTGGCCAACACACCGCTCAACCCGTCGGTGACGCCAACGAGAAGACAATGACCGCATCGCAGGTGAAGCAGAAGCTCCTGAACTGCAATAATCTATTGGATCTGAAGAGACAATTGTCGCGAATCAATGATTGCGCGGCGAAAGTGAAACAATTCAAAGAAATGAAAGTCAAGACACCGACGAAGAAGTTGTTCCGAACGCCCACTAAAGCGGACAGAAGTCCGTCCAAACACTCACCGCATCGGCCGCTCATATCGATGGCCAGTCCTCTACATCATCCCATTAAGTCTCCCGTAAGCGTCACTCCGAACAAAGACTCTAAGTCTGCGCTCACTTACCGGCGAAGACTATTCGATGTGTTTGAAGACAAGGAGTCGAGTCCGCAGAAGAAGACGGACAACAGTATGGGTCGCGCTTTCGAGCGATTCGGTTATTTGGTGGACAAACCGGACAACAATCAGTCGAGCGGTTCATTGGTTTTGTCCCAGAAATTCAAACTCTTAGCCGATTTGTTTAAATCGATGGATACTATTGTTTCGATGCATTACAAGAGACAAGAAGTCTGTACTTTCGATAAACTGAAAGATTCGGTCGAAAGGATGACCGGCAAGAAGTTTGACACTAAAAGATTGGCTCAAATCCAAACAGTCTTCAGCAATGGGTTTAAATTGAAATACGAAATGTTTTCCAGTATTTTAGACAATCGTAAACCCAGTTATCAATTGATTATAACTCCTGTCTATAACACAGACGTTAGAATGAATTCAATTCATCTCTTAGAGAGGTATCAGTTGTTTGTCGCGAATTTGTTGGACATCACGAAAGGACATCACAGGAGATATTTGGAAGGCGTGGGCATTCATGTTGAGGACAAGGAGTTGGTCCGATGGCACCCGAAGTTTAGGTTGGATTCAGTGCCAGATATCGTCCCAAACGTGAATGCATTGCCTGTCGAACCAAAACTGGGAGAGAAGACGGCGGAAGTGTTCTTAGAGAACACGAAACAGCGGTTAGGCATCACATCGACGACTGCCACCGCAGATGACAATAAAGATAATGACATTGACTCTAATAATGACAATAAAACGACGGCTTCTAATCAGAAGATAACCAAAGGATTACTTAAGGGAATTTCAATGGATTTGTTAAACAAAGTATGTCTTATAAAAATGTTTTATGGAATATAAACTTATTGTTTGTCTTAATATTTGTCTTACAATTAGATCCGAGCGAAAGAAGCGGCAAATTTGGTTCAAGAGATGACTCGAAAGCCCGAAGTGGAGACAGAGCTTAGGATTCTTCGGTCTTTACCCGAATTTATTCGAATTATTCACACGTTTTTCATCGGCACTAAGAAGTTAGCCGTCCCTTACGAACAACTCGTCAATAAACTGATCAGTAGTTTCAATACGAGTCTATCCATACCGAGAGCCAGAGAGCACGTGGACTACTTGTTCCGCTTTATGCCCGACTGGATCTTCTTATTGGATGTGAAGAAAGGCAGTTATGTTAAGATCAATAAAGACATGACTGTCTCCGCACTCGAACACAGAATCAAACAAAGGATCAATCATCTGAAGAACTAATTTACTTACAAATTGCATTTTT